TCCTTGTGTTTCTCTTTTAGTGTTGAACTCTGTTCATGGTTTCTTGTTGTGTGTGAGACTTATGCTACTCTTTTTATTGCTATCAGTTCGTCGGTTATTATTATTGTTATTATTGCTATCTATCTGTTATGTTGTCTCTCATATTATGTGCTTAGAGTGGTGAGTCTATAAAATTTAGGGGGAGTCTAGCCCTGAAAGTGTGCCCATGCTTTCTAACAGCGTGTTCTTATTGGGGCACACATCTAGGGGGAGTTCTGACTAGATTTCGTAGACTTCTCTCTTGCAAATCATATTGTTGTCATCATCCACCAAAAAGGGGGAGATTGAAAGGGCATTTCCCTACTTTATGTTTTGGATGATGATGACAACCCTTTGTTGGTCTAATCCTATGTTAAATGTTTCAGGTTCTTAACGCTTAGGCCCACATCGAAAAGTTATTCTCTCTTGTAGGAAAAGATCGAAGACGGAGTCCCCTATGCTTTTTATCTCTTTGGTCGTAGGGAACCCGTACTATCAAGAGGGAATCCTCATTAGAAAGAACTGGGGGAATCTTTTCACGTACACCTTCATCACCCCTCCTTTGTCTTTCTCAGGTGTGTGTGTGAGAGAGAGAGTTTTCCTTATCTCTTCCCTTATCTATTCCTGCTCACTGTTTCTGCCCAGCGGTTGTACCGCTCTCTGGAGCGATTGTACCGCTGGGTCTTGTCGCTCATCAGCTTTGCTCGAGCGGTTGTACCGCTGCCTCCGGGCGGTGGTACCGCCACCATGCTCTGCAAAAGCTAGGGCGGTGGTTCCGGCCATGCACCGCTGAAGTACCGCTCGTGCTTATGTTTTGATGCGGTTCTTGGGCGGTAGTGGCCCGGTTGGTCCGGTCGTTCCTCGATGACCGGTACCACCGGTGGTCCGAGCGGTTCTTCCGCTCAGAACTTAGCCGCCCAAGAGCTCAAGGCCATGCAGTTGTTCCGGCCAGGCACCGCCCAAGTACCGGTCAAGCTCCTGTTTTGATGCGGTGGTTGTGCGGTGGCTAGGCGGTTAGTCCGGTTAATTTTCTTAGCCGGTACTACCGCCTGCAGGTCCGGTTGTACCGCTTGGTAGGGTTCTGTAGATACACCGTGAGTCCCGGTTGTACCGGGACGAGGACCGGTTGTACCGCTGTAGTGCAAAAAACGCAGTAACGGCTGGAATTTAGGGTTGCTAACTTGCTATATAAGGGAGCTTCTCCCACCTACCACTCTCACCTTTGACCTCTCTCACTCCACCATTAATGCACTTCAAGCTCTCTTGCCCGATCTCTCTCTAGCCACTCAAACTTGTTGATTTGTTAGGGATTGAAGGAGGAGACCTAGATCTACACTTCCACCAAAGGATATTTGCTTCCCCCATACTTTCTTGTGTGGATTTTGTTACTCTTGAGTGTTTGAGCACCCTAGATGGTTGAGGTCACCTCGGAGCCATATTCCATTGTGGTGAAGCTTCGTGGTTTCGTTGGGAGCCTCCAATTAAGTTGTGGAGAGAGCCCCAACCTTGTTTGTAAAGGTTCGGTCGCCGGCTTCAAGGGCACCAATAGTGGAATCACGGCATCTTGCATTGTGTGAGGGCGTGAGGAGAATACGGTGGCCCTAGTGGCTTCTTGGGGAGCATTGTGCCTCCACACCGCTCCAACGGAGACGTACTTCCCTTCAAAAGGAAGGAACTTCGGTAACACATCCTCGTCTTCACCGGCTCCACTCTTGGTCTTCTCGTCCCTTTACTTTTGCAAGCTTACTTGTGTTACTTTCCTTGCTTGCTTGTGTGCTTGTATGTGTTGCATCATATAGGTTGCTCACCTAGTTGCACATCTAGACAACATACTTTGATGCAAAGTTTAATTTGGTAAAGAAAAGCTAAAAATTGTTAGTTGCCTATTCACCCCCCTCCCCTCTCTAGTCAACTATATCGATCCTTTTAGTATGAACTACAAATTTTTTTAACTGCCATCCTCGGATAAAAATGACATGAATAAAAAAGAGCCATGTGAATACAAGAAAGAAAACATAATAAAAAAGTGTCATCTCTTAATAAACAAAAAATGGCATCTAAAAACCAAAAATGCCATCTCTTAATAATAAAAGTGACATCTCTTAATAAACAAAAAATGCCATGTAAAAAACAAAAAATTGCATCTCTTAATAATTAGCAATGTCATCTCTTAATAAATAAAAATGCCATCTATTAATAATAAAAGTGCCATCTCTTAATAAACAAAAAATGCCATCTGAAAAACAAACAATTCCATCTCTTAATAATAAAAATGATATCTCTCAGTAATTAAAAATGTCATCTCTTAATAACTAAAAATGCCATCTATTAATAATAAAAATTTCATCTCTTAAATAAAAAATGTCATCTCTTACAAAAATGCCATATCCTAAATATAAAATATGCCATCTTTTAATAATAAAAATGACATCTGTTAATATTAAAATGCCATCTTTTAATTATTAAAATGCCATGCTCTTAGTAAAAAATGCCATTCAAAACATGGGAAATGACATGCTACATACAATAAAAAAAAGCACATTGCTTAGAAAAAATCACCTCTATTTTTTGTTCTTTCAAACAATGTAAAAATTCAATATTTGTTGATTTTTTTTCAAATGCAAAACAAAAACAAAAACAACTCGAAATGGATAAAAGATGTTTGAGCGCCAAAGTATTCACAAAACTTACACTAGCCCAACCGGTCAGTGCCCTCTGCAGCTCTCCAGGATGGTGCGATCCCCAGCCTGTGCTTTTTTGGGAGAAAATGAAAAGGGAGGTTCGCTAGGAGATCACCTACAGCGAGCACATCCAGAGAGTTGACATGGCGTTAGATTCATGCCAAGATCTACGTAGCTACTCCCTCCGTTTCGAATTACTTGTCACGGGTATGGATGTATCTAGATCAGAAAAGACGTTCGCTGGAACCTGGCTCCTGGCTGACGTATGCCAGCTAACATTTCTGATATTTTTAATAAGAAGTAAGGCATACAAAATGCTACCTTTGTGCGGAAGCGGATTAGGAGCACTCGGTGCTCCACCCCCTATATTTAAAAATAATTTAATAATTCAAAAAAAGCCAAAAAAACCTTGGATATGTTTTTGAACCAAATATGACTAGGTATTGTACTCATATAAAATGTTTGGCCAAGGAATAATTCTCGTTGACTTCGGAGCAAAAAAACAAATTTATGACGACAATATAGCATGAATAGTACTTGATCTACCATTTTTTGGGAAATCTTTGACCTCGGATACAATAAAAGTCATTTCCTATTTAAATCTTTTTATGCAAGTGCAATACCTGGTCATGTTTGATTCCATAAAAAGTTCCGGGATTTTTTGACTTTCTTTGAATTACTAAATTATTTTTAAATATAGGGGGGCGTAGCACCCGAGACCTCGTATGCATTTTCGACCTCTCTGCGCACTAATATAAGACGTTTTTGCAAGGAAAATACACAGAAGCTCCTGGGTGCTCTACACCCCTATAATTGTAAAAAATACCCAAAAAATAAAAAAAAATCTGACATTTGGGGATATCAAACATGGGTTCCCAATCTACTCCTGTGTGAAATTTCGTGAAAAAAATCCCAAAAACGTATCCGTGGCGAAGGAAATATTGTCCGAATGAAAATCTATCCAAACCGTTTTTTTCTATACATAGGAAAATTTGTCTTTTTTGCCACGAATACGTTTCCTGGTATTTTTTTCATGAAATTTCACACAGGAGTAGATCGGGAACCCACGTTTGATATTCCAAAATCTCAGATTTTTTTTTTCAAATTTCTCGGCATTTTTTGAATGAATTGTTCGTATAGGGGTGCAGAGCACCCGAGTGCTCCAAATCCTCGTCCGTTTTTGCAGTTCATAGTTTACAGAGGGAGTGCATTTTTTGAGGAAGGAAAGCATACAAAATACTATGGCGCTCTGGACCAAATAGCTGGACAGTGCTGCTACAATCTTCAATTAAGTGAAGTACACCACACAACTTTGATCCTCTGATCCTAAAGTATACAACTACCTCCCTTCCAGACACCGACTTGAACTTCTCTAACTTCGTCTATGGATTATAAAATAACACTCGTAACTCGTAAGATTGTTCAATAAAAATTAAAAATTAAAAATGCTTCAAAGAATAGTACTAACATTTTTACGTACTACTTCCTCCGTTTCTAAATATAAATCTTTCTAGATATTCCACTATAGACTACATACGGAGCAAAATGAGTGAATCTACACTCTAAAATGCACCTACATACACCCATATGTGGTCCATAGTGAAATCTCTACAAAGACTTATATTTGGGAACAGAGGGAGTAAATAACAATGAAAGTTGCATCTTAAAAAGTGCCCATGTCTACAAGGTCATGTATTTAAAAACGGGAAATTTTGATTTTACTATGAACTAGTCTTGAATTATAATCCACACAAAAGGACCTTGCATCAATGTCTGAAATATGATCATACTAGAAGTGGTTAGTACACAACCATGGACACAGATAGACCATTAACATGGCAGAGCCAGTAAAATGGCAAAGTAGCCAGCACATATAGACCATTAACTTATTCCCAAAGCTCCTTCCTCAAAAACGAAAACAGCCTATTTTTTTCACAATGGAAGAATACCAAGATATTACATGGTACATGTTCATAAGGTTTCCAGTTTTTACTGGTGCAGTTCAAGCTGGAATTACAAATTATAAGTTCACTTGCTTCCACTGCTAGTTTACAGACCATGTGTACTAACAAATTCACAGTTTTCAGTGGAGATCCGGGAGGAGTGAGAAATAGAAAATCTGTCTATATGGAGCATGTGGCAAGCTTCCGCGACGAAAACAATCTAACTAGTGTAGCTTAGATCTTCTCTTCTCCCTCGCACAGAAGACAGGAATCGGGATATCTATTCTGTCAGCTTAGAAACAGGGGCGAAACAAGAATGCTGGGATTTTACAGCGAGAGTAGATGTTTGATCCAAACATCATGCCTTTTTCCGGTACTGAGTCCAAGGAAGGTTCCCAGAGTATGGCACCATGCCGCAATAGGAGAATAGGCCCTTCAATTCAGGGCAGCCATTGGGGTAGGGAATGGTACGGTGAAACGGGTCTCTCTTGAGCCTCTTTACACGAAGAGAACCAACACATCCATATGGATCTTCTTGGAACTGAGACCTGACAGAGGCTTCACCTTTCAGAGCTGCCTCCTTTGCTGTAGCTGTAGCTGGGGTACCTGAGAAGAAGAACCTTTCTTCTGGGAACCCAAGTGCAGATCTGTGCAATTGTGCAAACCTTTCCTCCTTAAAATCATAGCTTACAACCTAAGCAACAAAATGTTCAGAGTCGCAAATTAGCAAACTATCAGACATTCAAAACTTAATTGGAAGCACAGAAAAATGCATTACCAACAAGTAATATGTGAAATAAGGTTTCAGCAGAAAGCCTTGACAAAAGGAAAAAAAAAACTTACAGTTATATTCTGTGGGTATGTTCCAGTGAGTTCTCTGAAACGGCAAATGCTAAATAGGAGATTCTCAAAACTATCTCGTGCATGCTCCTCAGTGAGTGCCCGGTTCCTTACACTATCATCATTTCCTGTGCATGTACATGCAAATAGTGAAGTTTTTGCCAGATGGTTGCCAAAATAACTAAGGAACTCGAACTGGATACATAAACAACGGTGGTAATACTGTGCTGAGATGAGAAGGTAAACACGATAAACTTCAGGAAGCATCAACCTCTTCAGTCCTTACATTCTGACTATCCATGTTTCAGAGATGGATTTATGAGCTGAACTACATGTTTGACACAATTAGAGAACTCATCAGCCATTTTCCAATGGCCTCTGCAAAATGTGAGCAGCTTGCTGTCAATGATGTTTTCTACAGCCATTTTAATTATTTACTTCCACGATAGTAAATTTATGATCATGCATCAACATATCTATATACAGAACCTAAAACAAGCATGTTGTTTGCTTTGCATTTTCATCAGAGCAACTGAGTGCGTATGTAGTCAGAACTCAGAAAGTAATTGTACATCTAGGTCTTGTTGTTTCAAGTTCAGGATACATATGACGAACAATCGACAAAAAGACTAATCAGCACCACATTTCCGAACCCCGTTATGCCAATAATAATAATCTTACTAAAGCACGAAAGAAGGAATGTTGATGTAACCTGAAACTCACCAAACCAGCCTTCCGACTCTGCGATAGCCCAGTAGCTCTGCGCCTCGCTCCTCGGCCCTGCATCTTTCCTCGTCTCCCCACCGCTAAACAAGAGGAGCGCGCCCTCATCCCTCGCCGCGATCTCCACCCCCTCCTTGATGTGCGCCAAGAAGGTGGCCGCCTGGCCGGGGTGCTTCTGGTACGGCTCCAAGAACCACGAATCCTCGCGGTCGATCTTCCCGCAGCTGGCGCTGGTGTATATCGAATGGCCGGCCACCATGACGAGGTTGCGGAGGCCCGGAAGCGGGTGCGCCCCGACCTCATTGCCGCCGCTCCTCATCGTCCTGAACCGGGTCTCGTACACGGACAGGAGGATCAGAACGCTCAGCCCGAAGGACAGCAGGATGAGGGCGACCGCGACGGGGTGCGCCTCGTAGAAGAAGCGGATCTTCATCAGCGCCGAGCCGAGGGGGGCGGGGGCGTCGAGATGCGAGGCCTTGGGCTTGCGGCCCTTGCGGGGGATCCCGGACTCGAGATCGTAGTCGGCTCTAGGGTAGCGGAAGGACTTGGGGCTCCCGGGGCCGAATCCCTGGCTGCTCATCGAGCTCTCCGGAGCTCCGCCGCCTCGGGGCGGGCGGATCTAGGTGGTGGTGGAGTGGAGGAGAGGATTTAGAGCGGCATTGGATCGGTCGGATTGGAGCTCGGGGCAGGAGGTCGGAGATCAGAGCAGCGTGGGAGAAGATAGAAGGGACCGGAGGAGAAAGAGGCGAAGGTACCGTGCAGGATGGTGTAGGGGAAAAAGTCTAGCCGTGGAACATCCGATGATTCAGATAGTTGGCTACTTCGTGGCATATGGAGCCATGGTCCCATGGACGCGGTCCTCCAACCTTGCTCCTCCATCCGCACCACCGCGGTCATCTACCGTTATAGATATCGCCGTTGGATACCACATCCCAAAGAGCAATATGGATGATGTCTTAGCGGAGTCCGTGAGGTCACGTCCATGATGGTGAATTGCACGCAAAGAACGTCATCCGGTGGAAGCGGCGGTGAAGGAAGTTGCGGCTGAGGAGGTGGTCAACATCGACGTGGATGTGTCCCCTCTGTTGTGGCCGTTGGCCCTGTTCGTGTCCGCCCTGCTACCGACAAGGAAGCCCCCCCCCCCCTCTCTCTCCTTCGCCGGACGACGATACTCGCCCGAATGAGGAGGGATTCCGGACGGCTGGACATAGCCAGAGGGTCTGGAGACGGTGCGTGTCTCGCCGCAGATCCAGTGGGCGCAGATAAGCACGGGCAGCTTCGACACCCGGTCTTGCCAGATCTACTTCGACAAAATGTTGCAGCAAGACACAATTCCTCCATTTTGTATTGCTTCTTTCGTTTTTCGCTATGCCATTGGACCAACTTGATACATGTGCCATTAGTTTATTTGGGGCCATGGTCATTTTCGGACAATTTCATGACGAACATGATCAATGAGGGTTAAGAGTCTATGAAATATGACTTGGGGGATCCCAATTGTCCTACGCATGATGTCAAGGGAACATTGGGTCTACCAAAAAAAGGCAAAGATATGAAGGCAAGATGTCTGACATTCTCAGCCTATGAGGATGCTTTGTTGGTTAAATCTTGGTTGTCCATAAGCATGGACCCTATATGTGGCACGGAGCAAAAGGGCAACAAGTATTAGGAAAAGATCCACAAGCACTACAATGAACACAAGGAATATGTGGAGCCGAAGCCAAGTTTATCGGCCACTATGCTTCGGTGGTTGGTCGGAATTAAAGTGGGGTTGGAGACAATAGTCACATAAGTTGAATTGCTTCGTTTTGTCATCAATTGCATCACCAGTCTTGTTTGTTGTATTCTCATGGGTAATTCTTTATTGATAGATGGGTTGGCAGCCATTTTGTACCAACAAACCGAGAAGAAGCCATTCATTTTAAGCCATTGTTGGATGAAATTGAATGGCAAACCAAAGTGGCAACATCTTGTGGATGACCTCAAGAGCGACAACAAGAGGTCGAAGAAAAATGATGGCTCAAGGTTCCAACAATCCACCGGATTGGATGACGCAGAAGAAGAAGTTGTCGGGAAGGATGGATGAGCCACCATGCCAACTAAAAGGATTGATATAGTTGACTAGAGGGGGGCGTGAATAGGCAACTAACAATTTTTAGTTTTTCTTTACCAAATTAAACTTTGCATCAAAGTAGGTTGTCTAGATATGCAACTAGGTGAATAACCTATATGATGCAACAACAACAAGCACACAAGCAAGCAAGGGATACAACACAATATAAGCTTGCGCAAGTAAAGGTAAGAGATAACCAAGAGTGGAGCCGGTGTAGATGAGGATGTGTTACCGAAGTTCCTTCCCTTTGAGAGGAAGTACATCTCCGTTGGAGCAGTGTGGAGGCACAATGCTCCCCAAGAATCCACTAGGGCCACCGTATTCTCCTCACGCCCTCACACAAATGTGAGATGTCGTGATTCCACTATTGGTGCCCTTGGAGGCGGCGATCGAACCTTTACAAACGAGGTTGGGGCAATCTTCACAACTTAATCGGAGGCTCCCAACGACACCACGAAGCTTCACCACAATGGAATATGGCTCCGCGGTGACCTCAACCGTCTAGGGTGCTCAAACACCCAAGAGTAACAAGATCCGCAAGGGATTAGTGGGGGGGAATCAAATTTCTCTTGGTGGAAGTGTAGACCGGGGCCTTCTCAACCAATCCCTAGAAAATCAACATGTTTGATTGGCTAGGGAGAGAGATCGGGCGAAAATAGAGCTTTGAGCAATAATGGAGCTTGGGGAGGGAAGAGGTGGTCTTCTTGGGGAAAAAGACCCCCTTTATATAGTGGGGGACAAGATCCAACCGTTACCCACCTACTCAGCCCGCGAGACGCAGTACTACCGCACACGCCCGCGGTACTACCGCATGGCGCTACGGTATTACCGCACATTGTCGCAATACTACTGCTCGTGCGGTAGAAGCCAGGTGAGGTCCCGTTGCACAAGGCAACGAGCGATAGAACCTCCGGAGCTATACTACCGCACGCCCTTGCAGTACTACCGCAGGGCAGGGCTCAGCTGCGCTAGGAAGAGGCACGTGCTAAATAAATTTCGTCTGTGACTACTTCCGCGGAGTTTGGGACATGCGAAAATCTGGCACGGTACTACCACTCGTAGGGAGCGGTACTACCGTGTAGGGGCAGAAGTAAAAAAATTACTTCCGCGCCTACTTCCGCGCGCGCCAGCGTTCTGGCTAGAGGCGGCGGTACTACCGCTCGCGAGGAGCGGTACTACCGCGTGGCGCAGTACTACCGCTAGTTAGGGCGGTACTACCGCGGGCCCCTATGATACTACTGCTCCCTTGAGCAGTACTGTTGCACGCCACAGAACCTATAGCACTTGGAGGCCTTCATC